TAATTCAAAGGGATACACACACCCGTATGTTTACAGCAGCATTATTTATAATAGCCAAATTATGGAAGCAGCCCAAGTGGCTATCAATAAATGAATAAAGAAGATGTGATGTGTATATATATATATACAATGAAATATAACTCAGCCATTAAAAAAAGAATGAAATCTCGCCATTTACAATGAAATGGAAGAGCTAGAGAGTATAATGCTGAGCAAAAGAAGCCAGAGAAAGACAAATACCGTATGATTTCACTCATATATGGAATTTAAGAAACAAAACAAATAAGCAAGGGGAAAAAAAGAGAGACAAACCAAGAAACAGATTCTTAACTATAGAAAACAAACTGATAGTTCCCAGAGGCGGGGTGGGTGGGGAGATGACGGAAATAGGGGATGGGGATTAAAGAGTACACTTACCATGATAGATAAAATAAATAAAAATAAAAATAAAATGATAAAATTTTTAAAAATCTCTATATGATGATTTCCCCATATGTTTTGGTTAGCCATTTTTCCAAGCACTTACAACAATTTCATGGTCATTTTACTTGTAACACCACACAACTGGAAATAACCCAAATGTTCATCCACAGGCCAATGAATAAAACTGTGGTATATATATAGTAGAATCCTACTCAGTAATATAAATGAATTAAATATGTGCAAGGAAACATGGGGAATGTCAAAATAATTATGCTGAGTTAAGGAGGCCAAACAGAAAGAGGATGTTCTCTATAACTCCACTGATATAAAATTATAGGAAATGCAAACTAATATATAATGATAGAAAACAGTGGCTAGCTAGGGAGAGAAGTCTGGGGCAGGGAGAGGTGAAAGAAAGGGAGTACAAAGGGGTTTGAGGAAACTTAGGGGAGCTAATAAATATGTTTATTATTTTGATTTTGGTAATGGTTTCATAGGTGTTACATAATGTCAAAACATTTCATCTCAATTTTTGAAGAAATACTGTGTGTTATATTCTTCAATAAGACACAGCTTTCATATGAGGGATAAAGGTAATGACATATTTAGTCACAAATTCCTTTTAGATATAAAATATGAAAACTCATGAGTTTTCAAAAAAATCTATACTGAAGATGCAAAGGCTTAAACATTTAAGCATTCGTAAAGAGTTAACAAAACACACAATAAACTCACTGCAAAACAGTGACAGAACACCAAGTGAAACAAAATCTCTAAATCTGAAAAGGTACATATTGTGCATTGTCGTTTATAAACAGAAGAGCCCACATTAAAATGGAATATCTTGGGGTGCCTGGGTGGCTCTGTCAGTTAAGCATCTGCCTTCAGCTCAGGTCATGATCTCCAGGTCCTGGAATCCAGCCCCAAGTTGGGCTTCCTGCTCAGCAGTAAGTCTGCTTCCCCCTCGCCCTCTGCCCCTCCCCCCCAGCCCCCGCTTGGTCATGATCGCACAAGCTCTCTGTCTCTCAAATAAATAAATAAATAATCTTTAAAAAAATAAAATGGAATACCTTTCAAGTTCAGAGAAAAACTAGTTTTTAAGATATTGGGAATTTTGTGTTCTATAAAGAATTATCTGATATATAATTCAAAAGGCCAGTGCATTAATCCAAAATATTCACTAAAACATAATTAAAGCATTATGTGTAATCAAAATGATCTTACAGTAGATTGTGTTTTATTTTATCTTAGTTGCAAGTGCTTAAGGAAATTTAATTATGGGAACTGGTACATAAAAGCATTACAGAAAATCTGAGGAAAGTCAGAAGGTGTTAAGAGGATAATGCTACAGATTTAGTTGTTATCTAATTTCACTTGGAATATATGCCTTTCTTTTTCCTTGATAAGTACATAGTGAGTTAAAGACACCTGTGCATCATAAAACTAAAACATTATAATACTACGACTTTATCTTTTTATTTCAGGATTAATAAGGCACCATAGTAACTGACACATATTCTACCTGATGCTCAAGTAAAAGCAAATGTTATTACTCTTTCAAATACCTAAACATGCACATATAATCAAGTTGGGTATTAGTAACCTTGGTTCTGAACATTACATTATTTTTAGAGGGAAGAAAGGCATTTTCAGGTGTAGCCCCAAAAAGCAAGTCAGTAGAGTTTCTGACACATTTTGCCAAGTGGTCAGAAGAGAGGTATGCAAAGGTGAATCACCAGAACTCACTTATTTAATAGTATGGTTTTTAAAAATGAGATTTTGAAATGATTTTAAAATGAAAGGCAACAGGACAAGCTGAAAAACAAAGGTATTAGAGTTATAGCAATATGTAAAAGAATATTATGAATGAAGGGCATTCTTCACATTTACTGTGCTAAAAAATACTCTGGTAAACTCCAAAACTATTAACCTCCCAGATAAGTGAAAGTTTACATTCACTACTTAGTTTAACAGATTGAACAAATTATTGAGAATAGCACTCTCTTTATAAACACTTATGCATCCATAAAGGGTACTTGGTAAAACTTTCAAACTCAATGAAGCCATATCCCCAGGCACCTTCTGAAACCACCTAGTTAGGACTCCAAGAAATATTAGTTTTGCTTTGGGAAAATAAAAACAAAGACACATTCCAATTTTTATTCAGGATAATCCTGGTTCAATTTGTTCATTTCTATTTCAAAGAGTCCATGGGATTAAACAAGTTGGCCATCCTAGTTACATATTCAAACACTCTTCTAAATGTTATTTTAGGAAGTACATTTACAGACAGTAAACAGCACAGTAAATTAAAGGAAATAAAACCAATATTTTAAAATACCTGAAGCTATTTTGTTTGGTTTTGTTTTACTGTTTGTTTCTTCTTTAACATTTCAGAGTGTACTTTCAATCTATCGTGAATATAGCATTTTGGCAGCATAGTGATTTTATGTTCTATTAAGAAATGATTACTTTTCAAACAAAAAAAAAGAAAAAAAATTACCTTATAGCAGTTTTACCCCTACAATTACCTAGACCCTAAGTCATATTTAACTTCCTCTGTCTTGCCTCTGGATGAATAGAGCAGGCCATACTTTAGAGAAAGGAGGGATGCTGGTTTAAACAGATGGCTTTGTGTCATCCCTGATTCATGAGGAACCATGGCAACGAGCAAAGAGGGGGTGTTGCTTAGCAACTGAAAACAATAAGGAAGAGATTTCCAAACTTATGTAGACAAAAAAGTGCTTTGGAAGAACTTTGGTACTTGGCATAAGGGTGCACCAAAATTCATTTAAGAAACATGCTGAGGGCATAATCACAAATCTGGAAAGCATAATGCTTTATAAGGGAAAAAAATATAAAATAAGTAGCTTATTAGACAATTTCTCTAGAACGTATTTCTGTATTCATAAATAGCATTTATGACAAAATACAGCAAAACTGCTAAAATAACAAGTGTTTTATCTTGAGATGTAATAAGAAAAGTTAGGTTAATTACAAAATCTATTACTATCGAATAATAAAATAGAACCTGAGATTGCAGGTAGGGTCAGACATTCATCGAGTTGAGCCGTTGTGTAGTGCCAAATCTGCAAATGTACATGACGTGGTCCCCGAAACATTTCAGGGTGTTCTTTCCCAGGTTAGAATAGGCACTGCAGGGCGCCTGGGTGGCTCAGTTGGTTGAGCGACTGCCTTCGGCTCAGGTCATGATCCCAGGGTCCTGGGATCGAGTCCGCATCGGGCTCCCTGCTCGGCGGGGGGTCTGCTTCTCCCTCTGACCCTCCCCCCTCTCATGTGCTCTCTCTCTCAAATCAATAAATAAAATCTTAAAAAAAAAAAAAAAAAAGAATAGGCACTGCAGTTACAAACTTTTAATGTCTGTGTTAGCTAAAAATGTATTTTCACCTTGAAAATGTCTTTCTTATTAGTATTCTCCCCTGTATTACACCTTAAAATTAATATTGAAAAGGTGGCTTTCATACAATATTTTTTTTCTTCTGGAGTTGTGAAAATAGAGCCAAACTGGGTCTCTAAGATAAATATGTAACTATTTTATTATTGTTGTGTTTTATGTGTTCCTGTATTTAAATATATATATATATATATATTTTTTTTTTAAGATTTTATTTTTATTTATTTGACAGAGACACAGCGAGAGAGGGGACACAAGCAGGGGGAGTGGGAGAGGGAGAAGCAGGCTTCCCGCGGAAAAGAGCCTGATGTGGGGCTCGATCCCAGGACCCTGGGATCATGACCTGAGCCGAAGGCAGTCGCTTAACCAACTGAGCCACCCAGGCGCCCTCCAGCTAGCTTTTAACTGAAAATTCTAGTGGAACATGACAAATGTTAGAAACCAGAAAAATAGATGAAATTTCAGGTAAATCTGCATAATTACTAAATTCCATTATTTCTATAATAAAGTTTTTTTTTAAGATTTTATTTATTTATTTGACAGAGAGAGACACAGCGAGAGAGGGAACACAAGCAGGGGGAGTGGGAGAGGGAGAAGCAGGCTCTCTGCCGAGCAGGGAGCCCGATGCGGGGCTCGATCCCAGGACCCCGGGATCATGACCTGAGCCCAAGGCAGACGCTTAACGACTGAGCCACCCAGGCGCCCCTAAATATAAATTTTAATGGATAAGCCATGTTAGGTTTGACAGAGTGTGTATGTTTATATATATATATAATTTTATTATTTGAAATGTTTTTTCAAGTGTCTATCAATGTATTAGCAATTGTTTTATAATAATTATTACATCGTCTACTTCATATCTTAAAATTTACTCAATGACATATAGGAACTTATAATGCACCGATATTTTGCTAAGCACTATGGTAAATATTAAACATCACAGAGGAAAAATACCTTTCTGGGTTTGTCCTCCACTACCACCGTCAACGTTTCCCGGCTCCGGCCACCAAATGCGTGCTTTTCCTTACACCAAGCAATTCTGCAACACCAGCTGGGTGTCCTACAACAATTTAACTCAATTCCCATACGATAGTTGCCTCTTACCCCTCGGAAAACGTTCCAAGACCCAATTAACCAGCAGGGACTTCAGTTCAAAACTCACCTCTGTGCAGTCTTGTGCCACTTATTAAACCTCTCTGCTCCTCAGTTTCTCCATTTTTGTTCAAGTTAATCAAACAAGACCATTAGCTTGCGGTGACCCTCATACTTTGGCGGCTGACGTACACAAGCCCAATCTGAGCCGCAAACGCCTCGAAGTTACGAACCCGGAACCTCAAGGCAACCAATCACAAACCGCTATCTAGTCTTTAAGCAGCTGTAGCCAATCAGTGATGCCCTTGCTTCGCTTGTGCCTTTTCTCCGTCAAAGTCTTTTCCCAGCTCCGGCGCGCGGTTGACGTTAGACGCGGTAGGCGATTCAAATGGGTCGATGTGCAACCTAAGTCTTTAGATGTTTACTGTGCCCCAGTTTACCTTTTAACACTGCATCAAGCTGCTAGGGGTTAATATACAAAAAGCGCAAATGAGTGAACGGCGAGAATTGAATGAATGAACGCATAGGGAGTTCTCTTGCGCTGGCCTATGCCAGCACATACTGTTGGTTTTTGTTGCTTTACGTTGGTATTGTTGTTGCTATTATTATTGTGTACACTTTCCAAATTAGCGGCTTTTCTGGGATTTAGAAGCAGTCGGGATTACTCTAAACTATAGGTTAAATAAAAGTAATTTGATAAATGTTATCTTAGTTTGGAAAACTTAGTTTGGAAAATGGAGTAGGAAATGTTTAGTGTTAAAAAAAAAAAACAAAACAAAAAGCAAGGAAATGTTGGGCACCTGCGTGGCTCAGTTGGTTAAGCCTCCCGTTCTTGATTTTGGCTCAGTTCCTGATCTCAGGGCCCTGAGATGAAGCCCCGTGTGGGGCTACCTGCTGAGCAGAGCCTGCTTAAGATTCTCTCCCTCTCTCGCTGTGCGCCCCCCACCCCCGCGCCCTCTCTCAAAATATAAATAAATAAATAAATAAATAGTAAATAAATAATAAACAGGAAATGTTTAGCATTAAAAAAATTTTAAAGATTCATTAGTTTAAAATTTTCTTCTTGGGCGCCTGGGTGGCTCAGGTGGTTAAGCGTCTGCCTTCGGCTCAGGTCATGATCCCAGGGTCCTGGGATCGAGTCCCGCATCGGGCTCCCTGCTCCTTGGGAGCCTGCTTCTCCCTCTGCCTTTCTCTCTCGCTCTGTCTCTCATGAATTAAAAAAAAAAAAAAAAAAATTTCTTCTTATGTGTAATAAATGATTCATCCAAAGTAAAGGTCCATGTTTTCCTTCTCAGCTCATTTTATTTATTGTTATGTTCCAGATATGCTATGCATTTCAGCCATATTGTCCCCTCTCTGCATCCGCCATACTATATTAGCTAGATAGACATCATTTATTCTCCTTCAGTTACCCTATTTGTACATCGACGAAGTGGCAGAAGCTGGATTCATACCTGTATCAGTTTTCTCTTGGTCTATAACTATCACAAACTTAAAGGAGTAAAGCAATACCCATTTATTGTGTCACAGTGAGGTCAGAATTGGATCTGATGCTCTGAGTTCTCTTCCAGTCAGGCTAAAATCAATGTATTGGCAGTGCCAGGCACTTGCTTAGAAGCTCTGGAGAAGAATCTGCTTCCACATTTATTTAGACTGTTAACAGAATATAGTTACTTGTGACTTTAAATCTGCCGTATCCATTTTTTGGCCAGCTGTCAGCAGAGGCCATCCTCCACCCCTAGAGGCTGCCTGTATTCCTTCTCACATGGCCCTTTTCACCTTCAAAGGCAGCAATGGACCATTCTTCTCATACCTATAATCTAATTTTCATTCTGCCACCAGCCAGAGAAAACTCTGTTTTTAAAGGGCTTTGTGATTTGATTAGGCCAACCCAACTAATCTCACTATTTTAAGGTTAACTTACAATGTTTATTACATCTGAACACTTTTGCCATGTAATGTAACATAATCGGAGAAATATCCAGTCCTATTTGTAAATTCTGCCCACAGGTAATGGGGTGATTTTACAAGGGAAGGGCCATTAGGGGTTATTTTTAGAATTCTGCCTATCCCAGCACCCAAGTCTATGATACCAGCGAGCATTTCTTTCTTTTTTTTTAAAGATTTTATTTATTTGAGAGAGAGCCCAAGCAGAGGGAGTGGCAGAGGGAGAGGGAGAGGGAGAGTCAGGTTCCTTGCTGAGCAAGGAGCCCGATGCAGGGCTCCATCCCAGGACCCCGAGATCATGACCTGAGCCAAAGGCAGACAGACGCTTAACCGACGGAGCCACCCAGGCGCCCCTATCACAGAGCATTTCTTAAATACTATGTAATAATGTGGGACCATATCCACAGTGATCCTAATGTCTGTTTGAATACGTAGGCATAGATATTCATAATAGAAGAATCATAACAGAAGAATCTATTGAATTGGATATACAACTAGATTAAAATAGAATTACCCCTGATTTCTCAGGTTTCCTTGGCTCCAAATATCACTTTCTCTTATGTTTTGAGAATGCTATCAAGATATCCAAATTAGTTGGTTTTTGGAGATCCAAATATGTCATTGGAAACTAAGATTAGTCTCAGAGAGCTCTCTTTTTCTGAGTTGTACAAAATTTATTCTATCATAAAAAACAATATATAATTATATACTGTGTTGGACATAAACAACCCACTTTATTCTCTTAATTTCATATGCTGAATAAGATGTTTCTATTATTAAGGGAAATTAATTTGTCATCATTTCTCTGTTCTTTCAAGTAATTATATCTTTTATTATGGTATCTTTCAAATAATTATCAGAATTGACATCTGATAAAATGTTACTGAAACATAAACCCTAAAATTAGTAACACTGATTACAATTGTGTGGAACATTTATCATTACTTTTAGTATGTACGTGCATGAGAGAAGTGTCAGTCTCAATTAAGTATGTGCCCCCAGTACATAATACAGTGCCTGTAGTACATCAGTTGTCCAGCAATAACAACAAAAAAGTTTTAAGTAAGAAAATTGAATAAACAATTATAAATGATTATAAATAATAAATTAATTCAAATGATCATCAAAAGTTTTAAATGCAGGTATATATAATTTTTCAGAATAAATTGTATGCCAGTTTAAACATTATCTTTAGAGCAATTTTTCCCAACTAAAATCTGCAATATAATTAACATAGCACTATTGCTTATTTCACCATCTTCTCTTAATAGCTTTTCTCTGTATATTTGCTGTACTATTATTATAAATAAAATCTAATTAAGTTCTCTTGCCTATTAAGTATTGTTCAAATTATGCTAATGTATCTGTGAAATAATCAGATATATATTGGTCATGCGTATTAAAGATCATATGTAGACTCTTTGTATTTTTCTTGTTTTAATTTTTAATCCTATTTTTTATTGTTGTCTTAAAAAATTTGCCCACAAGAATTACATGTAATGAGCTAGACATACCTGAAAACAACTAAATCAAAAACTGTAGTTGAGGACCAGGATTTCATAGCTTTTCTGTCTTTTCTCATGATTCTAATACATGGAATTGACAACCAATGACCGACTAATACTCTCAACTATGATATTTAAGTATCCTTTAAAATACAGCAGAAAAAAGAATGTCATAGTCAAAGAAGTTAAAAAGACTAACGCTCCTTCTAAATAAATGTAAAAAACAAAACAACACAAAACTTTTCCTCCTCTCCATCATTTATTCACTCCACAAATAGGAACTCCACCTACATCATGACAGTTACTATAATACTTACTGAGAATAAAAATAAACAGGATTCAGAATATGTTCTCAAGAATTTCAGGCTACTAATAATACTTATTAATCACGTATCAATCACTATATATGAAAGTTCATATCTTATTTAAATCATTTGAATCCATTTTCACAAGTTGATAGGTGCATATTTCTGTTATAAAGATATAAAAACTAAAACTCTATTCCTTAAGGTAACACCGAATATAACAAATGTTCATCCTAGAATTTGATTTAGTTCTATTTGATTCCTTGGAAGGAAGGACATACAATCCAGAACTGATGCAGGAGAAATTCTTCCCATCCACAAAAAAAATATATAAAATCAATGAATAATTAACATTAACATGGGTGCCTGGGTGGCTCAGTTGGTTAAGCGACTGCCTTCGGCTCAGGTCATAGTCCTGGAGTCCCAGGATCGAGTCCCGCATCGGGCTCCCTGCTCGGCAGGGAGTCTGCTTCTCCCTCTGGCCCTCCCCCCTCTCATGTGCTCTCTCTCATTCTCTCTCTCTCAAATAAATAAATAAAATCTTAAAAAAAAAATTAACATTCATCCAAGGAAGTTCTACTTCTAGATATAAACAAATAAAAAATGTAATACCTGCAAAATCAGATAAACAACATTTACAAAGAAAATTGTAAAAATTCATGTATTTAAAATTCTTAGAGAGGGGTGCCTGGGTGGTTCACTCGGTAAAGTGACCGACTCTTGGTTTTGGCTCAGGTTGTGATCTGGTGGATCATGAGATCGAGCCTGCATCGGGGTCTACACTCAGCAGGGAGTCTGCTTGAAGAGAGCATGCGCTCTCTCTCCCTCTCTCTCAAATCAATAAATAAATCTTTAAAATTCTTAGAGAAATTCAAAATGGAACCAAGTTGTATAAAAGGATATGAGATATGTAAAATGAAAGTTTGTTATAAAACAGAAAAAGTCAGAAATCTGGGAAATTAAATAATAAATATTAAAATGACCAAAGCAGCAACAAATCATTAAGAGGAAGTGCAGAGATGACACAGTAGACAAAAATAATGTTAAACTGTATCATGGTATAGTCCAAAAGAAACAAGGATAGAGAATATGAAAACAGTTTACAGCAATAGCGTCAACCCAAAAGCTTCAAAATACCTTTAATTAGAATTTTAAAAGAAAAAGTACTGAGTATGGAAAGTAGGCAACCTGTAAAGAAATAAAGGTCTCAAGTTTTACATAATAAATATGATGAATCTTCAGAATTATGTACTACTTCAAACAATAGCTACAACACCAATACAATAATCCAAGCAAACAAATTCCAGCAAGAACTACCATTCAGGCATTATAACAAAACTTCAATATCTTAAGGATAAACAGAAAACCCTAAGATTTATGAGAAAAAGAGTGCACTGCATACAATAAACGGGAATCAGTTTTGTTTGTTGCTAGCAAATG